CCCCAAAACCCCAAAACCCCAAAACCCCAAAACCCCTCTATGATTCCCTCAGTTGAAACTAATTTTTGCAAGAAAATCCTATTTCCAAATTTTGAATTCAGAAATTATAAGAATCTCAAAGCTAGAATGGCTGTTCATCCCCAGGAAGAAGATGCCGGTGAACCTAAGAGAATGTCAGACAAAAATAGGGAAATCATACCTTAAGAGAGTTTAAATTTTGAAAATCATTAAGCTTGATCAAGCATTAGATAATATTTAGAAATGGTTTCTATTAAACATTCCTCTAAGTCTATTTAGTCCATTAGTATTTACCCTAATCCTGACATCCCTGTTAGATCTTTCAAATGGATTCAAGTCGAACACTGAGGTGGTCTGGGTATTGAGTCTGAAAGGTTCCCTGCTGTGGGCGCTTCTGTTACGATTGCTTACTTTATCAATAAGGTAATCATAAACTTCTTCTTCATTGAGGGGCTCTTCGCCAGGCTCTCCAATTCTTCTCTTGTTTTCATCTTCATCATCATTGTCTCTCATTCAGTCCTTCTTTAACTCTTCGATAATATCTATTTTCTCGTTACTAATAGGCATGTTCAAGACTGGCTTCTTTGCCTTATTATCTGTGCTTTGGTAGTAAGGAATATCTGTTCTTGAAGTATAGAACCCAGCATTAGCAATTCTGGGTGAATTTAAGGGAAGAACCTCGTCATATTTCCTCCCCCAGCCACAATAGTGCACCAGAATGCTGTTGTCTTTCTCTTTGGATTCAATAACAGCTATAATTTCAGCTTTGCACCAGATGTATTCACTGTCTCTAGCATCAATAATGATTTCTGGAGTTTCCCTAAAATTTTAAGTAAAAAGGTACTTACTGACTAAATTTCTCTATTATAGACTCATTTAACTTCTTTTTAGCAAAATACTCATCCTCAAATTTGACCTTAAGAGCATACTCCTTGGAGTATTCTTCTTTAGAGAACATTAGCATCTTCTCAATAGCTGAATCAGCGACTCAACATCTTGTAATTTTACCCTTTCTTATAGATTTTTCACAGACTGGGCAACTATCTTTAAAAATGAGGTATTCGTCAAGGCAGTATTGGCAGAACATGTGTCCACAGGTGGCACAGACACTTTTGTACATGAAGAAATGACAGATTGGGCACATCATGCTCATACTTTCATTAGTCTGGGACTTTAAGACTTCCTGTTGGTTACTATCATTCTCAACCATTTCTGCAACCTCTTTTTTGTCAGTCTCTTTGTTTTCCTCTTTTTCTTTATTTTGGTCTTTCTTTTGATCCTTCTCCTGTTTAACAAGAAGTAACTTTTTCTTCCTGTTATTTTTCATTAGCTGCTTAAGATAGACCAAGGAGTTGCATTTCATCTCTACCCATTTAGGCATGCCTTGGGGTTGCTTCCCAGTTTTAGTCACGCGCTCTAGATGGTAGGGTAAGACTACGTATGAGGTGGAGGAGTAACGGCAATTACCTTTTACAACATCTTTAGACAATCTCTCTAGGGGGTCTACTGCCTCTTCATTTCTTCTTCTCGTTTTACAGCACAGAAGTTTTTGGAGGAACTTCATTTTCTTGGATATTATTTATTATTTCAAATAAGTGCCCAACTTATGGGGTTTTGGGGTTTTGGGGTTTTGGGGTTTTGGGG